CTTCTCTTCCTCCCTTTCTTTCTCCTTCTCCTTCTCCAATCCTCCTTTTCCTTAACTCTCCTCCTCCTTACTCTCCTCCTCCTCCTCCACCTCTCCCTTTCTCCTTCTCCTTCTCCTCTTTGTTTCCCTCATCTTCTACTTCTTCCATGTTTGAGTCTCTTGATGCATTTTCTGTTGAACATTTTTCTCTCAGTGCTGACTGTATAAAGCAAGCTATGGTTTCTCTTCAGCTTGTATTAATCTTTCCCTAAAGTCGCATGAAAGAAGGCAAACCCCAAAGCACCACATCCCGCTTATCAAAATTCTCCCTGAAAGAAAACTTCAAAAGCAAAGGTAGCTTTATCAGCCTGAATGAGATGGAAGAGTGGAAAAGTGTAAGAGGAGGTTGTTTTGTTTTGTTTTTTGTTTTTTGCACTGCACGATGAAAGAAATTACTTCTATAGAGTAAGTTAGACTCTTGTCTACCACTTTGTCCATATTTGCACTTCAAGAGGAGGTGTGTCAAATCCTGTCAAGCACTGGACACCTTTTCCAATAAACCACGTTACTCACAAGTAACGATATACTATAGTAGAGTTTATTGCGGGTCTTCCAATCATGATCAGTAACTACAGCAATGATATTCTGTGTAAAGTCAGCATTGAGAGCAACTGCCTCTCCACGCTGTCTTTATATCCTCCCCATTAGCCTAACACCCGGCCATTAATTAAGTCCCTGCACCTCCACCCTGTGCCTAAAATTATCTGCCCCAAGAACACAGCTACTTTATTTGCTCTTCCATCAAACGTTGTCTTCAAAGAAGGGGGACCCCACCTCCCAGGTAGTGGCCTACTCCAAGGTGGTATAGGATGTCTCTCACTTTGATCCAATCCCCTAATCCCACTATGAGATTGCCTCCTATTTCCAGAAGCATGGTCCAATTCCCATTCCTGCATGTCAGATGACTTTCCATCCCTTTGATGACTCTCACAAAGGAGCAGTTTAAATTTGAAAAACAAGTCACCTGATTTAAGGGATCTTTCAAAGGCTGGAAAAGAGAAGGAATTTTTCCAAAGTGCCAAATTAAGAGCAGATGGAGATTTCAGGCTGATTTGCCCAAAGAGCTGTTGGTTCTGCACTTCCACCATCTGCGAGAAAGAAGTTCAGATGATTTACAGGTAATCCTCAACTTACGATCGCAATTGAGCCCAACATTTCTGTTGCTAAGCGAGACAGTCTTAAAGTCAACTTTGCCCCATTTTACAACCACAGCTCTTAAGTGAATTTAGTAATATGGTTGTTAAGTGAATCTGGCTTCCCCATTGACTCTGCTTGTCAGAAGGTCTCAAAAGGGGATGGCATGACCCCGGGACACTCCAACCATCATAAATATGAATCAGTGGCCAAGCGTCTGAATTTTGATCACATGCAGACGCTGCAATGGTCACACGTGTGAAAAATGGTCATAAGTCACTCTTTTCAGTGCCATTATAACTTTGGATGGTCACTAAATGAACCATTGTAAGTAAAGGACCACCAGAGTGAGGTCTTGCCTTAATATCTCCCTAATGGGAGGTACTAATACCACTCTGTAAAGCCTTAGTAAGACCACACCTAGAATACTGCATCCAGTTTTGGTCATCACACTATAAAAAAGATGTTGAGACTCTAGAAAGAGTGTAGAGAAGAGCAAACAGGACGATTAGGGGACTGGAGGCTAAAACCTACAGTGAACAGTTGCAAGAACTGGGCCTGGCTAGTCTAGTGAAGAGAAAGACCAGGGGAGACAGGATAGCAGTCTTCCAATATGTGAGGGGCTGCCACAGAGAGGAGGAAGGGTCAAGCTATTTTCCAAAGCACTTGAAGCCAGACAAGGATAATGGATGGGAACTGATCAAGGAGAGATTCAACCTGGAAATAAGGAGAAACTTTCTGACAGGGAGAACAATCAACCCATGGAACAGAAGTTGCCTTCAGAAGTGGTGGGAGCTTCATCCCTGGAGGCTTTCAAGAAGAGACTGGACTCCCATCTGTCAGAAATGGTGTAGAGTCTCCTGCTTGGGCGGGGGGTTGGACTAGATGACCGACAAGGTCCCTTTCAACTCTGTTAATCTGCTACATAAATGGGGTCCTCTGTTTGCCATTTCAGCTTTCAGCCTTCTCCATTTGAACCACTGTTTTCTTGGCAGTAGACCTGATGATTTTGACTCCGGGTGAGTTTTACGTCCTAGAATGATGCATGACCGTTGTGTGACTTAGCCTGTGGCGATGCCAAGAAGTGAAGCAAGGACAGGAGATGACCTGAAATGCCTGGCATCCTAGCCTGTCCATCTGGTGAAAGCTAGGACTGGTTTACAGTTCATTTAACCATGGTTGTTGTTGTAGTTTTTAGTTAAATCATTGGTCAGGCTGTTGGTAACATGCTGGAGTGTAATTTAACAGACTTAATTGGAGTCACGCATGTCTGATGAAAACGGGACAGGGTTATTCATGGCCCAGGCTGTCCAAAAACTTAGCCTTTGTAGAACATAGAATAATAGAGTTGGAAGGGACCAACCAGGAGGTCAAGCAGCAGACACTATACCATTTCAGACAAATGATTATCCAGTCTCATTTTGAAAGCCTCCATTGATGGAGCACTCACAACTTCTGAAGTTGTTCCTTTAGTTGATTG